TGCTCTAGCTTTATGTTCCAGGCATATTACATGTTTTTCTATATTGCATTGGTAAGAAAAAGCTGCAAGAATTCCTCCCTCATAAGAATTCTTCAATCCCCAGAGCAATGTATCCTGATATTATCTGTGTGACTTCAGTGCTAGTTGCACCAATGCAAAGGTCACAGTGTTCAGAAAATGCATGAAGGAGACTAAGAGAGTCTCATTCATAGAAAGAATAAGAGTGCACTCCCTATAATAAGTATTTAGTGAGTATGGGAAGTCTCATGTCTCAACAAATGAAATTGTAGAGAGGTAGCCTGATCAGATATTCAAAATGCTGTACAATGTGTAGTGATTTCAGCAGAACAGGGCTCAGTTCTAACTGTTGTACTTTGTACTTACTGGACCTTTTTAGTAGTTGTCCCACAATTCTGCTCTGTCGAGTAGACCCAGTTTCACCAAGGGAAATCTGATTACAGTTTTCTATTCATAAAAAGGGTTTGTACCCACTGATTTCCACCAGCAGATCTCTCAGCAGTCACTTCTTACTGAGAACAGGGCTATGAGAAATAAGTTCATTGTTGATTAACCTGTTCAGGAACATGGTATTTTTCATTGTCCATTAATCCTTCATGTCAGGAACATCTATTTCTATCCATTCTATAATTATTTTTCAATTAAAATAAAAATCCATATTAGTGCATCATCATTTAATAATGAACTCAGGAAAAACTCTTTCTGACAGAGTGGGCAGGTCATTTAAGGCAAAGCTCTAATTGATGGCCAGGCTTCCTTATTCGGAAAGAATATTCAAACTGTATGTAAAGGAGCATGGGAAATTTCTGCTTCAAAGAAGGAGAGATGACAAATAGGTCAACATTAATTTAAGCCTCACTGAACATGTCTAAAAATAGCTGTCTGCAGTTACAGTGCTACACCTCCTTCATTTATTTAATGCCTGCTCTCTGCAGTATACACCTAATTGCAAAAAATGATCCATTCAGCACAACATAATTTAAGACTAACAGATTGCATTGTAGAGCTTTATAGAAGTCTCTGGGGTTTACTGTGCTGCTGATGGCTCCTACAGGTCTTCAGAAGAGGACCGTTCATACCAACACTGCTAACAGGTGGAAAATTGGTCAGTCCTGCTTCTGCTTGGCACACTGCTGTCTCCAGTTTATTTTCATTGGCTGCATTTGGACTACAAATGAATCACAACAGATACGAGATACATAACCCTTCAGGCATATATATGCTGTATCATCGGCTGTGGGCCAGAGCATCAGACCTACTACATCAAACTGACATGTTCTGCCAACATTCATCATCTTGTATAATTCCATTGTATCATGACATGTCTGAGAAAAGGTAAAGTATTAACTGCTATGATCAAGCTGAAGAAATGTAAAACTTTTATTCCAGACAATGCTAATTAAAACAATTGTTTAAAAACCCTTCTAAATTAAGACAATAAACATTGTTTCAGTGACTATATTTATTGTTTCAATTATTTTATGTATGTATTTGTCAAACATATACATCACACTGTAGAAGAAACTCAGAAAGTTAGCCTATGGGAAACTCCATCCCTATGTTCCCTGAGGACTAGGTAGAAAAGATGAGAAAACCATAAGTAGGCCCACAGAGCAATTTATCCGACCTACCACTATCTAATAGTATATCACCATAGTCAACATGATCTTTTCAGTAGCTAGAATCAGTAATAGTCAAACTATTCCACACAGAGCCCTGTTATCAAGGATTGAGGATATCCACAGACTGCTGGAACACCGTATTTTATGGGCATGTTCTGCTCGGTTCACAAAGCCAGGGCTCTCTTCCCATCTCTCATCACTGCAGCATAGGCTGCACTAGATGCACAAGCAGCGAGTCCTGAGAATTCAGACATCATCTTTGGCAAAGAGACTCATTTTCTGTCTTGTGCAGTGGATCTCCTGTTTTCATCTTTTCCGTTTTATCCCGCTGCAGCACTGTTTGCTGCTCTGAAACACAGCTATCTGACTTGCTCATACATGTGGTCACACACTCGGGAACTGCAGTTCACCATTTTTGCAAGCTCTGAAACATTATCTCTCTTCAAATGAGTATTGCTGATCAAACATCAGCCAGACCGTAGTGACCACACGTCAGCAACACGGCCTTCTTTCTTTTCAGACGCATGGGAGTATTGCCACTGTGTTAATTCCTTGTACCTTTTGAGTGCATTAAGAGCAATGCACAGGCTACAGGAGTAACAGTCGGTGCATTTTTTAAAGTTCTGAAAGTTGTAATCATGCAAGCTCCGTGATACAGCAGTACTACTGCTAACAACAGGCCATTAGTTCCATACTGAATTTGCAAGGTTTCAGGCCTGAGGCTTGTCAGCCGTGCTCTATGTCTTTGTTTTACCTGGTGTAGCTACATCTGTGATTCCTCTGACCAGATGTGTGCCTCTAATTTGTTTTACTTTTGTTTACCTTTGTACAACCATAGTTTTATAGAGATAGCAGTAAAAAGCAGTTACTCTGTGTAGAATGAGATATTTAGGACTCTAAGATAATGATGTAGTATGAAGAGATATGGGCCTGGTCCGACAGCAAAGGCCTTAAGAAGTAGAGACACAGGGTGTGGTATAGAAGAGTACAGGTATGGGATGATAAGAGGTGAGGCACAGACTTGACACTGGTGACTATAAACAACCACGATCAGTAACAAAATGCAGACCTGGACAACACTGGGTTTAGAGGTAGCTAAGAGAACAAAGAAGCAGCATCCAGTATATGTAAAATGCACCACACATTACCAATCCAGACGTATCACAGACCTGCAGACCAATGAAGAAATGGCAAAGGTGTAAAAGTGTTATAGCAAATGTATAAAAATGATCCTGAGTGGCAAATCCTAGAGTGAGGAAGAAGGAACCATCGATACAAACATCCTATTCCTCCCGGCACAGGACTCTGGATGCTGACAACTCACCCATAACACCACCACCAGAATAAAACCACCGACGCTGGGACACAAAGGAGCAGTGAAAGGGTGAGCATACCCCCCTCAAAATGGAGTGAAGCTGAGAAGTGTTTGGAAAGCAATTCTAGCTGTATTATGATTCTTCTTTTTTCTGCAACAGATCTAGACTAGTAATGATTCTTGAATGAGATTGCTCAGATTTCAACTATACTAATTTAAGAAACCATGGATATATTATATATATATATACACACACATATATATGTTTATAAAAATGTGTGCTTCCTCTACTGTAAACAAGATTTTTAATGTAGCAGACTTCTGATTCCATTGCTGAGGCTAACTCCCAACACTGTATTTGCTTACATGACATCAATGGAGATGGAGGCAGACAAAAAAATTATGGAAGCTATGGTAAGTCTAAATTTTGAGCAAAACTGAGTAAGTCCAGTTACAGCTTAAGTCAGGGAACACGTCCTGATTGGTGGAAATTACAAACATAAGACAAAATATGACTGTAGACAATTAGTTCAATTATGAAAGCAAAACCTTAATAGATCCAAGTCTTTACTAGGACTCAAATGTAAAATATTTTAAAATGAATAGTTTTCTCATTATGATTCTCACCATCTCCTGTTAAGAACAGCTGAACAGAGAGCATTCATATGATTTAACTTCCTGCAAGTCAAGAAACAAAACTAATTAGAAGACCTTTCTTTCCAATTGCTGTTGTCTGTCTAGATAAATTGAACAATAAAACTTTCACTTGAGAAGTTTTTTAACTCAAATGCATAGTAAATTCATACAGTTAAAACCAAACATTCTCAAGTGGCTTCATCTTTTCACATCTCATGAAATGCAGTCACTCAGAATTTTCAGTTCTTCCTAAAAGCAGGACAGAATTCATAAATGCTAAAATTGTGTTTATTATTCAGTTTGGGGAAGTCGATGCTAGAAGCTTTCCTGTTTTTAGCAAGGGATATTGTTGGCCTTTCTTCTTTAATTAACATAATTCCATAAATTCATAAACTATTTGTCAAATTTCTTGATATGAAATACCAATAATCAGGCAGTAATCCTACAAGTTACAATGACTGTAAGAATTAGTTTTAAAATACATTATTCTGTGACTGTAAACAGGAATTCACTTACAGAATAAAACTAATGATTTGATCCAATGTCAACATTATTCAGGGATATGACTGGTGACTGGGAAATGATTCACATAGAGCACAACATGTAAATCAGGCTACAGAATACACACACGCTACATTCTGCTGAGAAAGTACTTGTAATCAGATGACTGTAGAAAGTAGGTACAATTATGAATAATAGAAGGCAGAATACTGCATAATCTCAGGTACTTCACTGCAGCCAAGCAAACTGAGGAAAAGGCCTATTTAAGTCACAGTTTAGATTAACTCACAATCAAATCAGCTGTAGTTCAGCACAGTGTTTGAACATTGTTAGTACTACACCACAGAATCTTTTCCAATTAGCTAAATAATAAATACAGCTACGCCTATTTCTCTGATTTTTATTTTTTTTCCTCAGGTTACATTAAAGATTACAAACATACAAGAAAAAAAGATATGCACCTTGAAGGATACCAGTTATGCACTGGACTGGAAGTCAGGAGATGCAGGTCCCATTCTCAAGTTTATTGATGATTTGCTGAATATTGGTCAACTTTGGTTTCTGTAACACAGAAATATGCTTTATCTATATTGACTACACAGAATTTAGCCATACAGAAATTATTCATGGCAGAACTGGTTCTTCTTGCTTTTCATATAATGGAAAATACAATGGATGTTGATCTCAGTGGAGAGCATCTATGTATTAGTGCCATAAATTACTTAACAGCTTACATAATGAATATTCTGTGACATCTAATTGCCTTACATATAAAATGCATCAGCTGTTTCCTACAACAGTCAGCATGTCAGTTTAGCTGCAGCCAGGGAGAAAAATAAAAATCCTAGTGAATACTAGGAAAGAAACAGAGCAGATTTCTTGCTCCGATTTGTCTTAGTGGTTGCAGCTGTACATGCCACCAATCCACCTCTTGTAGTTAACTGTAGTGAAGTCTGCCCTCCTCAGCTGGCCGCCAGCTAGCATTCCACTTTTCACAGTCACAAAAATGAGCACAGAATATGCTTCAAAGTTAATGGCACTAAAAATACATTAAAAGAAACACAATAAGACTAATTAATCATACTCTATTTCTCAACAAAAATAATGCCATCAAATCTGAATGAAGATCACACAAATCCAGACAAACTATAAACAATGACATTTCAAAACACAGTTGAAGTAGGGTCCAAATTATTTCTAAGGAATTCAGTGCACTCTGACAATTTAAAATTATTAAAGACATTTCTGCAAAATGATATTATAATAGGTTACTGTAAGTGTTGATTGGTTTTACACTATTTTAATGGAAAATGATTATGAGAATTCATATGCAATTTCAGCAGAACAAACATATCAAGGTTGAATTTAAATGCAGTCTTTTTGGATAAAATATCATGCAATTAGTTGATTGGCAGCCATATATAGCATGGATTTACTTTATAATCCATCAGATTTAACCACACTGTGTTCTTTTGCTCCATTCTAGCAAAGCAAAACTAACACTCAACTAGGAATTGATTTTCAGTGGTAACTTTGCAGGAAATGCATCATCTATGGTGATTTATGGTGGAAACTATAGCTACCTGCTGGTGGTACCTCAAGAATCACATTTTTTGTCCCTTAGCAACCTTTGCTATCACTACTGTACCATTTATAGATGCAAACATAGCACCTGATGACTTTGTACATTACGTATATGTGAACAGAGGATAGATTTTTAAATTTTTTTTTTTTTTTTTTACACTACCCATTGGGCCCTGCTTCATAATTCGGAATGTTGAAGTCACACATTATAGGTAAAATAATACACTTGAGCTAGGAAATTAATTCCAGTTAGCTATTTATAGTTACAAACAAATCACTGGGGGGGAAAAAAAAAAAAACCAACAACAACAACAAAAACCCAGCCAAAAAAAACCCAAACCCAACAAATTTTTGCCAGTCTAGGAAGAGTACACAAAATATATCTGTATCAAATTACTTGTAGTCACATGATATAAATCATGTGATGACTGTAATGTTAATAATTTTCAACAGAGATAGTAGAGCTACATCACCAATGCATTCTGGTTATTTTCTACAGTATGACTGCCACAGTATCAACTGTAGAGAAAATGCCTTCTACTTATTAAGTATTTTTCACTAAACTATAGACAAAAAAGAGCTTCTCTGCTACTGCAGTGAGACATTTTCATCTACATTTAATACAGAGTGAATAAATATTGAAATTCAGAAAGTGGTTTTAAGTACTGTAGTTTTGATTAGCAGCAAAACATGTATTTTACTTAGTCCATTAAACAGTAAATGAATGTGTATATAAAATGTAAATAAAAGTACATGACACATTTTGTATACACAGATCTATACAATGTGTTCCCGAAGATAGACATATAAAATGCAGACATTTTGAAATAGGAGCAAAAAGAGCAGTTTTTAAAATAACAATAATTTCAGAAGTTATGCCAGTTGCAAATAATGACTATTAATATATCATACCAGCATTAGAATTTGCTACTATCCAAACTAAGTAGAGAAATTCCTTCTAAATATTAAAATCATACTGATGATGTTTAATCTGTTTCTAAGTCTGGTACAGTAAACCTACATGTATTTTCTATCTGGTCATATCACAAAGCTCTTTATCTTCCCAGAGAAGACATACATCGATATAAATAAGGTTACAGGCTTTGAACTATCGTCCCAGAAAACCTGACTATGCAGTGATTCTTTAAAAAAAATTACAAAAATAGAACATATGTACTGTTGGGAATTGTGTTTTGTTCCTAATGTATAAAACTGGAAGCATCATTCCCAATGTTTCTTCTAAAGTGCTTATGCTGTGAACAAAGCTAAAGATTACAGTGTCATCCTGAAATATAATGTGAGGTCTCTTGAAGCTGTCCCACACTGGTATTCCATCTGGATGCTATTTAATGAGCAAGGCTTGCCCCTCTGGTAATCAGACAGACTCAGCTGAAGTACAGGCAGGTTGACTTCATTAGGATCAATTCTGAAACCTTTGTTCAGAATTACAAGTTCTCTTCTTTTGCTGGATAGTCCTTTGTCCCCCTTGGATAGCAGAGATACCTGGAGGAAAAGAAAAACGGGTACTTCGTATGTGTTGGAAGTAAGAATTCCCCACTATTCACAGTCACCAGGTATGGGATCAATCTTGGCAATACTAGCAGAAAGCAGAAATACAAGCCAAGGAACTTCAGAAGTCTATTAAAAGAGAAGTTTTAGTTCATGGTTTACAATAGAGTTTGATGCATAAATCTCTGGGTGAAATTCTGTCATTTATACTACACACAGGGAAGTAGTTCATCTAATGATCCTCTGACTCAAAATTTATGGACTAGTCTGCACTGCACACAAATAGAATTAGAGCAGCATGGTGCAAAGGTCTCCCACAGCTGATCAATGAGGCCTGAATGCGACATAATGTATTTGTGGGCCAGCTTTATCTTATGTTGCTGATGCAACATCTCCAGAGACTTCAGCACTATAGAGAACTAGTTGAAAGTCTTTAACACCACTTGGTTTTCCTTTTCCAATTCCCCTTCAGCATGCTACATAAAAAATTAGCACAGAAAGTGATGGAGCTGCTTGTCAGCTTTATATAGGTGAAAATTGCCTCATAATCAAGTTGTATTATAATTATTCTATGAAAATATGATGTAAAGACTTCTCATAATAAGTCCTGTGAGAAAGTAAAATAGATGTTTCTTTTTTGTCTCAAAACTCCACCAGTGTCCATTCCAAGAATAAGACTTCTGAAATTTTCCCTGACTACTTGGATACAATATTTATAACATGGATATTCAAAGCCCTTTCAAACATTCCTCTATACACATGAACCCTCAGAAAGCAGAGTGTTATTTTGATTACTGAAGTACTGAAAGATATGGAAGTATTCCAGTAATAAGAAAAGGAATAATACGAAAAATTTTACAGTTTTGCACACATACTTCAACACATGTAGACAGAAATCCCTAAGCTGGAAGTCTGTTATTAAAGTTGCAAACTCAAGTGCACGTAATAAACATAAAACTGAAGACATTCAGCCCCCTATGTAGATAACATAATCCTTAATGGGGCACTGTACCACTGCAAAAAATAGAACCATAAAATACTTTGGGTTGGAAAGGACCTCTAAAGATCATCTAGTCCAACCCCCCTGCCATGGGCAGGGACACCTTCCACTAAATTCGGTTGCTCAAAGCCCCGTCCAACATGGCCTTGAACACTTCCAATGATGGGCTATCCACAACTTCTCTGAGCAACATGTTTCAGTGTCTCACCACTCTCATCGTAAAAGATTCTTCCTTATGTCCAATCTGAATCTACCCTTTTCAGTTTGAAACTGTTGTCCCTTGTGGTGTCACTAAAGGACCTCGTAAAAAAATATCTCTCCACCTTTCGTATAAGTCCCCTTTAAGCAGTGGAAGACTGCAATAAGGTCTCCTCCAAGTCCACTCTTCTCCAAGCTGAACAACTCCAACTCTCTCAGCCTTTCTTCCTAGCAGCGATGTTCCAGCCCTCTGATATTTTTTTGTGGCCCTCCTCTGGACCCATTCTAACAGGTCCATGTCTTCCTTGTAGTTTCTGGGATGCCAGAGATGGACACAGTACTCTAGATCAGGTCTCATGAGAGTGGAGTAGAGGGGGAGAATCACCTTCCTTGACCTACTGGCCATGCTTCTATTTATGCAACCCAGGATACAGTTGGCTTTCTGGGCTGCGAGCACTTCCCTGGACATTGCTGGTTCCTGTCCAATTTTTCATCCACCAGCATCACCTAGTCCTTCTCTGCAGGGCTGCTCTCAATCCCCTCATCACTCAGTCTGTGTTGATACTGGGGACTGCCCCGACCCATGTGCAGCACCTTACACTTGGCCTTGTTGAACTTCATGAGGTTTGCATGGGCCCAGTCCTCAAGCCTGTCCAGGTCCTTCTGGATGACATCCCTTCCCTCCAGTGTGTTGGACCACACCATACAGCTTGGTGTCATTGGCAAACTTGCTGAGGTGCACTCAATCTGTATCACTGATTAAGATATTAAATAGTGTTGGTCCCAGTACAGGCCCGTGAGGGACACCACTGATTACTGATTTCCACTTGGACATTGAGCTATTGACTATAACTCTTTGGATGTGGCCATTCACCAAATTTCTTATCCATCTAACAGTCCATCCATCAAACCTGTATCTCTTGAACTTAGAGCTAAGAATGTCATCAGGACTGTACCAAAGTCCAGGTAGATGACATCCATAGTACTTCCTTTGTCCACTGATGCAGATGCTCTATCATAGAAGGCCAGTGAGATTAGTCAGTCATGATTTGCCCTTGGTGAAGCCATGTTGGCTATAGTCACATAACCAAAATATTTACCATGATACATATTAAGAGTACTTACTATGTCTTTCTTGAATCACAACTTCTGCAATGAAGTTAAGAATATTTAATATAAGCTCTGTGTATGTTACTTCCTAATTTTTACACCAAAAGCTAACCCCTCTCCAGGAATTTCATTATGTGATATCACCAACTCACTTCACTGAAACCATTATCTGCACTGCACAGTCTCTGCTTTTAGGTTAATAAATAGCTTGTAGCAGATACAGGTAGCTATACTTCTGTGAAGACCAGCACCAGATGATAATGACACACAGTTTACTCACAATATAAAAAAGAATAGCACGCACTCTAAGTGCTCCAGCTGTCAGAGGATCCCCTTCTGTCAGAGCCTTGGAGCTTGATTCCTGTTCTGTGTGCCTACCCTTTCTACCCTCTGCCCTTACTGCAAACCATTCTCTTCACCTGGTCAGTCCCAGCTACATGTGGTTTCTCCTTCTCCCCACACCAGCCTCCTCTCCAGGATTCCTATATTCTGTCTTCTGCTGTTCTTGGCTCTCTATTAGATATATGTATCTACTGCTCACTTCCTAGCCTCTATCTCATCAGTTGCTACTTATCAGTTCTTTGCCCAGGCATTACCTTAAAATGATCAGACTGACTCACTTTCTGTTCTGATGTCTAGACTTGATCTGACAGTATTTCAGTGCTCTATTAATGCTACTGTTAAGTGTATACCTACTGTGATTTTTCAAAATTATAACTTGGTTACATTGGCAGGAATTTCTAAGAGAAGGGTGCAAGTCGTATCTGTGACCAAAAAATAGGTACTTTCTTGGCCAGATTTGAAATCCTTGCACTAATATACAAGTTAATAAAACATCGCTAGAATTTTTTTAATACCACCAAGCAATGTAGGGCAAGGCTTCATACTTTCAATGCCTTCATCCAGTGCTCTAAAGGTTAAAATCTTCCATCTCCTTCTATGGCACAGATTTCTAGTGCTACAGGACTCCATGGAAACATGGAAAACTCAGGATATGAGGTGTTTTACAGATACAAAATCTCAGTAAGAGAAACAGTTATTTCTTCTTTTCACATAATTTTCAGATGATTGTTCTTAAGTAAAAGGTTTCAAATTAACTTCCAAAACTGGTGCTGGTGCTGATACTTTAATGAGGCCTAAGAGTTAGTTTTATGGAGTACCATGTAAAAACATGAAGATCTGACTTTCCCTTACCGGTAAACAGAAGTTATGTTAGCAAAAAGGCAGCCTTCGAGAATAAGGAACACAACTGCACTATGTAGAAGAACACTGTGCCTGTTAGTACTAAACTGACATCCTAAAATAGCTTTTGTTGTATCTTACACTGCTATATCTAAACAGCTACCTCTGTAACCATTTGCAATTTCTCCCCTAGCCAGTGTCATGAAGGACATCTTGAGACAGTTAAAAGGAACTTATATTTTATGGCCCTAATTTTTGAACACTGAGGCCAATCTTGTCTTCCATTTCTTTGAAAACTTTCAGATTGTCTTCTACATAGCCTGAGTTCCCAAAACTCCTTTAAACGGCATCTTGCTATGCCATGGAAAGATACTACATTCTCAGGTAAACTGCCCTACCTGGACCAAACCATTAAAGTCTCAAACAAAAGAAAAATTCCTCTTAACTTCAACTCAAAGTGTTTAGTTCCCAGCAGCTGTATAAGATTCAGGCCTGCTAGCACAAGAATGATTCCAGTTTACAACGAACTTTCTGAACCACCTTGCATAGGAAGGTGTCTTCTTATTCGATGTTATTTGACAAACTTTATCTATGCTCTATACATGAACTCTGCCAAGCAGACATCTCAGACACACAAGAGTCAGTCTCAAAGTATATCTTTTTCATCAAACTGGTAGAAAGATCTGCTTCAGAACTGCAAGAGCAAACTCTTATCTCAGCCAAACAAGTCTGTGACGACAGATGCTTCTACTCAAAGATAGGAAGCTCATATAAGAATGTCTGAGAACTCAGGGCATGTGATCTCTGCAAGGTATCAGAGCCATCTGCCTAGTGTTGAAAACAGTCATTCCCACAGTCCAAATGCTGACAGACAGCTTCATAAACATGCACTTTTTCTATAGACAGTGTGGACTTCAGGCATTTCCACTGTCAGGAGACCACCTAATTTTGTGTATTCATCAGTGATCAATGACTCTGTACCTATCAGTTAGCAAAATTCAGGTCAGATACTCCTTCATTTTTTCCAACAAAGAGGTGAAATTCACCTTTCCACATACATCATTGCTAAAGAAAAACTTCAGCTGAGTGAGGGGAGAGGTTCTGCGTCAATGACAGTCCTACCACATGACCAGATTATTTTGGTACTTGTACCAGATGGATCCCTGGATCACTTCACTGTTCTGCACAACACAATGTCATGAACTGCAGTCAGGTTCTACATCTGTTATACCTAGCAGCCCTGATACTAGCCAAATCTAGTAGTCCTGATGCTGACTAACTGCTAGAGCAATAAAAAGTTTCTGCCACAGATTCTATCATTCTGATTCACAGGAAAAAAAGCCTAAAATAACAAAAGACTGACTTACTAACCAAAGTCAGAAAAGTGTTTTGTTATGGTATTGTAATATCAGAAAAACGCAAATCTTTTCTGTGTCATTAGATTACTGGCCATCCCTGAAGTGACGAGAACATTCCTGCAATTCTCCAAAGATCCAGTTAGGAG